GTGTGTGTGTGTGTGTGTGTGTGTGTGTGTGTGTGTGTGTGTGTGTGTGTGTGTGACAGAGTGATAGATTCCTGCCAAAGTATTCTCATCTTTGAGCCCAGAATCAGAGATGAATGCTATTTTTGCAAGGCTGTGTGTTTGCCTCTGTTTGTGCATGTGTGTGAGCGAGAGTGTGTGTCTGTGTGTGTTTGTCTGTATAGGAAAGTAGATGGAGAGCTCAAATTTAACAACTTGGCACCAGCCTGTGTGTGTGATAGAGAGAAGAAAAGATAAAGAGAGGAAAAGGGGACAGGGGAGAGGAAGAGGGCTGTTCGGGTGTGAACAGGGGAGTGTGTTTGCTGCGACGAGAGATTTTTTTAGGAGAAAGTGGAATTTTAAATTACAGGAGAGCAGATTATCTGACTGGGGAGACAAGTGCTGCTTCATCTGTCTTGTGAGCCACGCAGGCACAACAATGAGTAGATGAATTTACATACAAAGACATGCTGCTTTCCACTGAGAAATTAGACTGTTTCCCATGTGTTAGTGTGTGCGTACACCACCATGCATCCACGCATATCCACACATTTTGTTATCAGCGCATGTGGATTTGTGTGCATTGTTGAATTTGGACAACATGTTAAGTTGAGTCTCAAAGGTGTGCCAGTGTGGGAGCTACAGGCTCAAAAGAAAACCTGATTCTGCTTTCGGAGACCTTTATATATTATGTAGCATTAGATTTTTAATGCTGACATTTACATTTCAGTTTAAAATAAGCATTTTATTACTGAGTTGTTGTCTGAGATGAAGCTATGTTATGTATGTTTGCGAGTTTAATTCGATTCTGTTTTATTTTAATATAGCCCCAAATTATACCAACGGCTTTATACAGTTTTATATTGTAAACTAAAAACCTTACAATAATAGAGAGAAAACTCCAACAATAAAACAAACCCGTATGAGCAAGCACTTGGTGACAGTGGGAAACAAGAACTCCCTTTTAATGGGAAGAAAGGCTCAGAGAAGGACAGGATAGAAGACACAATGACAATGATGATAAATAAAAAATGATCTGTTGATGGGCTGAGGGAAAGCAGGAGAACAATCCAGAAAGACCAGGCTCAGGAAGGGGCAGCAACCTGCATCAACCAGCTCTGGGGTGAAGGATCGTCCACCTCCTAGGATTCATGAAGCACAGTGAAGGAGTTATTCACTGTATAAAGAAAAAGAAGGAAATATACAAGACATTTTGCTACATAAATAGTCTATTTTTTCACTCTTTTTTGTGAAAAAGGGAAAAGTCACCAGCAATTAACTTCTACATACAGACATCTGAAACATTACTATATACTTCAGAAAGATGTATTAGAGCTTTGTAAATCCAAAACCATCAGATACACACTAATTTAATATTTGTTTTCATCTTTGTTTCTGTTTTAGACTTAAAACGGATTCGAATCTTATCTTTTTCCCCACTGATGTACACACAAGACTCCAAAATTATAAAGTAAAGATGTGGGGTTTTTTAGACTGAAAGGCTAAAATATTCCACTAACAATTCTGACGTTTCACTTAACAACAGGTTAAAGTAGCGATTTCTGGGGAACTAAGAGAATAAGCAGCAGCCTCTCCATGCTAATCAAATCCACTTCATTAATTAATCATTGGCAACTGTGACCACAGCTGCAAAAACAGACGTTTCCGTATCCTGCTGGTCTGGAGCATACCAGTGTGTGTTAGCACAATGCCACAATCTTCCCATGACTGATCCCAAGGTTGGACTGTGCAATGCTCAAATAAATCTCCACAGGCCGCACCAGGAAGCACAATAAGAAACAAACTGAACACGTAAGGTTGATTTGGAAGGGTTGCTAGGAGAAAGCCTCTCCTTTCTCCCTAAAAACAACATCAAAGGTTAGGTTTGCAAATGTACATCTGAACAAACCACAACACCTCCGGAACAATGTCCTCTGGGCAGATGAGGCTAAAGGCAGATAAGATTCAGCAATCGTGCACAGCGCCATGCTTGGAGAAAACCAAACACCTCATACAGCTGCTGGAAGAGTGATGATTTGGTCTTGTATTCCAGTCACAGCGCCCCCTGCAGTCATTGAGGTGAGCATATTCTCCTGGTCAATGATCAGGAGAGCTGTGCATAAATGACTGCCTGCAAACTTCAGTGAACACAAGGAAAGAACATGATTGCTGCTAAAGGTATAGCAATATATACTTTCTCCTCAGCCAAAGAACTTAAGTAATTACAAAAATGTTTTTATCCAGTCCCGTTTTATGTTTTTCATTTACCATCCTCCCTGTCCCTGTGGTAGAAACGCTCCACAGCGTGATGCTGCCACCATCGTGTTAGACTGCAAGGATGGTGTTAATGAGGTGTTTGACTCAGTGGCTGCTTCCCTCCACAGACATCATTGGGAAAAGCCAAAATGATGCTGTTTGATTTTAATGGTAAACATTACAGAGTCTGGCTTGACTCATGCTAGTTAATCACATCATGGCTATGCAGTGCAGCCAGTGGTCAAAACACACAGAGACTTTCATTCCTGCTGAAGAAAATGTATTTACATACTGTCTGTACCAAAAAAAAAAGGAGAAAAGATGCAGGAAAACACGCATGACATCATAAATTATACCAGCTCATGAGTGATCAATCACAGGGCTGTTAGGACTCACAGTATGTAATGGTGCGTAATGATACAAAGGCTGCTTCGGGGCTGTTAGTAAACGCTGACACTGCAAGAATGAGGATAGACCAAGTCCTATTTTCTGGCACACGATCATGATTGAGCTTCATGCTCAGAGCAGATTTAGTAGGGGTGTCTCAGCAGTCCTTTATAGTGGTAGCTAAGATCCCTGCTTAGGTTTAGCCATGCAGCGTGGGGAGTTGTGTCTTTGTTTTGTTTGGTTGTTTTTCATATGATTAAAAACAGGAGTTATATCAAATAAATGCCTTAAAAATCCAACAAGATTGTAATGAAGCAAAAACTGGTAATGATGAGAAATTGAACAGTTCAGCACTGAGATCATCACACAAGGGCATTTCCTTTGAATTTTAATTTGCAGGAAAATTTATTTTCTATGAAAACAAAAAAATCATGAAGAAAACCTTTT